ACCCTGCCCACCCCCGTCATTGCCGAGGGCATGGTATGCAGTACGGGGTCAATATTATATACGTCGTGTGTCTCGAGTCACCATGCCACCAATGCTGCACACAATCTTGGCGGCCCCAACTCCAACCCGAGCGTATTGGGAATAACAAACTGGGCTTAGTTTCAAGGCCCAATTGCCTTATCCCCTGAACCTGCCTTAAGAGGCAAGCCCATAGAGGCATGCAGACAATCTGATATAGAAAAGCAGACAGACACACGGAGAGACTAGACAGATAGACAGGAAGATTTACGCAAGGCCTGAGAGAATGCTGTGAATTTGGTGAAAAGATGGATCGACATGTGGATCTAAGCGTTAAAACAGGAGTTCGGCGGATAAGTAGTCAATAAGTAGGTTTTATCTACAGTTATTTAGTTTTTTGTCGGTATTTCAAACGAAAGCAAAGTGGTTATCCACGTGCCAACCAACCGGATTGGTAGGTATGTATGCAGTCAGACGGACAAGCTTTTAGGTATGGATGAAAAGACAAGTTTTTGAGATTATCTTTTCTTATTCCGGCTTTTAGTTAGGCTGACAAGTGGGTGGGTTAGTTACTTATTAAGCCGATAAGTGAGTCAGTAATTGAGCTTTCTGATAGAATCTACTCAAGCTGTTATGCCAGCCGGGGAGCAAGTGATTGCCACGTTGGCGGATAATTAGGTCGGTATTAGGTGCGTAATGAATGGGCAGCCAAATCGGTACGTTGGTTGCAACTTCGCTTTGCCTGTGGTTGGGGTCTCTGGCACACGGCCAAGCAGATAGCGTCCTTTGTCTTCACGGTTGTAAGGTGAGATGTGTGCAAATTTCACATAAACAACCTCGTCTCTTTGCGATCCTCGACGCGGCTGAGCTGGAGGCATACGAACAGTGTGTGCGCCGGGCTTACCATATCGCCCAAATCCCAGACCTTTAACCTCCCACCCCATCTTCCGTGTCCATGTTGTGTTGCCGGTCTTGCCTTGTGACGGTTACGTCTGTGGTCTTACTGAATCTAGCCTCGATTCTTAACATCGTCATGGAACACTTCTCATCGTGGCTCGACGGGAGCACTGAATATCAGAGAGTCGATCTTTGATGAGACTTAAGGGGGTAAAGATAAGACTGAGTCGATGAT